CTCTGGGGAGAGGCGCGTTAGTGGCGCGGCGGTTGCACGAACACCATTTTCTTGGGCAGTGCTGCTGGGATACTCGGGCTTGCGCTCCTTTGCTTCACTGCATTTAAATAGTGAGGTCGCCTTTTTTGTTTTTCTCCTGTGTGAACAGCCAGAGCTTTTTGGAAGCTTTACCTATGGATCCATGAGGATTTTTTTTCTGTGATAGTGCCAGGTAAGCCGCCCTGGCAACTTGCCACTTACTTCCTCTCCTGTTCGGGGTCGTACAGCGGTCTGTGGGGCCATGCAGTGAGCCTGGCAAAACGTAAATTACTAGTTAATTTGGATCAGTTCCTCATCATCCAGATCATGGCTTCACAGACGGGCACGTTTGAGAGAAAGCAGCAGAGGCTGTGTAACGTCGTCTTACAGCTGATAGGGGTAGGAAAAGCTTCTCAGGAATCACTTCGGATGGAAAGTTGCATGTGAGTTAAGCTCTTAGTGTTAACAAGTGATCTTGCCGGTTTCCCATGGCCTTTTCTTGACAAGGCAGAGAAGGAGGGAACCTTTCCAATAAGTAAATGCTGCTGCCTGGACTGATGGATAGCTAAATAGGGGATGTGTGCTAGAAAAGTTATTCTTGTTAAAAGTGAAAGCATCAGTTAAAAAATTTACTTTTAAGACTCTCCTATTTAATAAATAAAGGTATTAAAAACACTACTTACAAATACTAGGGTCTTGTGCAGTTATGAATCTAAACCCTATAAATCAGTTTAAGGGGAGGAAGAGTGTCTTATAATGACTTGGATGAAAAATGTGAGTTTTTAATACTTTTTAAATACATTTTCATTGGGTCCAAGAAAGATCTTATTGTGAGATGCAATACTCTTCTCTAGTGTTTTTTTCTTTTAGGTTTATAACGCAAGGAAAAGAAGGACCATAATGAAGCGTGAAGCATTTTTACAAGTTGTGTCTAAGGACTCAATTGAAGAATTCTTGCGTTTTACTCAGATTCCTGTAAGTAAACCACGATACACGTTCATGACTAAGTCTATTAAGAGTGCACAAACTTTTTGTTTCAGAGGGGCAACAAAATTTTTCTCCGATACTTTTGTATGTGCTAGAATAATGACAGGTAGGCAGATATAGTATCACTGTTGCAAAAAATGGCACTTAATGGAGCATAGTTGAAAAAGTTGAAGAATTTGAAATTTTTCCTGTGTTGTAAAACAGCCTGTTTTTTAATACTTGGTTGTTGTATATAGCTTGCAGTTTTAAAATAATGATTACTGCAACAATAATACTAGAAAATATTCATCTGATACTGATAAAGTTTTTTTTTTTTTAAATGTTGACCTGTAAAAGAGTAAATTTGTTGCTGTATAATCAATGCGAGCTAATATACAGGCATAGCAAAGGTATGTTTCATTAGCATTTGTTCATCAGTTTGATAGTTTAGGCTCTCTACTTCTTTTTTTGTTAATATACAATTGTATTTAATAGTTCTTTCTATCACTAAATGTTCTAGAGATGTGATAAAGAGTCATAGATTGCTGCCTCTAAATGTAGTATGGAGAGAAGTAGGGGGAGGAACAAAACGAATCCAGTGAAATCTACTAATTAAAAGTTCATTCTCCTTTTGTGCATGCAATATCAAAAATAACAATTTGCATTGTGGTATTTTCCACTAAGTTTTAATCTGGTATTAAGACATGCTAGTTCTCCTGAACATCTCTTGCTAACCTTAATAGATGATATTGTCATGTTTGTTTCTTAAGTTTTCTCTCTAGCAGCCTCTCTGTTCTATTATATAAAGTACAATATTGTGAAGAGAGGATCTTGAAGCTTTTTCTACTTTACTGTCTGTATATATTGAAAGCTAAAGATATACATGTTTATTTTTAAGACTTAGTTTTAATTCTACAACTTAAAAGGCTTTGTCAGATATCTCTGCTTTTTTACGCTAACTTTTTCTAATGCTGCTTCACTTCTCATTGTTTTGCCAACATCCCTATCTACCTACCTTTTATCATCCTCTTTTAGATACTAATAAAATAACACATAGATCTTTATTAATAAAGTCTTTTATTCAGTCTCAACTAGTATTTGTTTTTGTCTTTTCCTGATCTAACCAGTATTTTCCTTATGTTCCCTTTGTCGGGATAAAGTAAGTGGTACAGCTGTACTCTGTCCATCAGGCCACCAATTAATTTACTAATGTAGTATAGATATGAAACCTATCATGTTAATTTACTAATGTAGTATAGATATGAAACCTATCATGTCTAGAGAAGATATCATGCACCGCGTAATAAGCTTAGAATTGTTTGTCTCCTAAACCTCATTTAGAGTCTCTTTGTCTAAGTATTTTGTGAGCTTTTCAGTTGCGCTCCTGTGTGTAACTCTAGATGACAACTTTATTAGCAGATTGCCGTTGTTTGAAATCTCCTCCTTGCCATTATTTTCCCACTTCTCCCCAAGTCACTTTGAAAATAAATTATCCTGTTTAGGATAACTTAGGATACTTCCTAAGCTTCCTTGCTGATGGTCATGTTGTTTCTGCCTTCTCCGTTCACTAACCTATCTTGACATACCTCTTGGTCTGTTCAGATTAAAAATTGCTTTTCCATCCCTATACCTTGAAGAACAATATGGTGTGTGTATCACTATTTTTCATCGCCAGTTCACAAGAGTTGTCTTGCAACTGTATACAGCTATCTTTATTGCTTGTGAAACTGAATCACTGCCAAAAGAGAGCCCTTTAGTGTTTTTAGAAATAAAATGATTGATTTGTCTATTTTGCCACAGATTATTAGCCTGTATCCTTTTTGTTTCTAGGTTACCCCTTGCCAGTATTTCTGGAAACTGATTATCACCAACTGTAAAGAATGTACTGATTAAAACTGCCTTCACTCCTTCATGTTATAAGAGCACAGGACTATCCAGATAATTTTTTCATTGTCTAACAGACCTGAGTTATTTTATTCATTTCCTCTCCATACTTTCAATGGAGAAGAATATCTGACCATGTCTCATCTTAGGAGTGAACACATTCCTAAAATAATTCTTAACTTCATTTCTGGAGGAGGCTGTGGTGGTATATTCTGTTCTTTAGAAGCTGATGTGTAGGTATGGAAAGGAGAAAGGCTGATTAGAGCCTCTCTGCTTTCCATGCTTTTCATATTGTATTTGTGCAGGTGGAACTAGGGTTCTACCTATTTTGTGCTCTAGCTTCAGAATTTGCCTTTCTTCGTTAAAATAAAGTTTTCTTTTTGGCATTGCATATCTCTCTCATTCTTCCCTTTCTTTTAATCTTCTTTTTCCTTCCTCTCATTGTTTTGTTTGATTCAAATCTTCTAAAATTCTAGGGATTTGCTACTTTCCTTTTGTTTGCTTTAGGCTTTGCTGTTTTCTTCTTTTTGGTTTTAAAAGGTTGCTATTATATATTATGGTACTACTTCTCAAAATCTTTATGAAATGCTATTAAATTTTCTTCTAAATTCTCTTCCAATCCAAGAAAATACAATCTCTCTTAGCCATATATGTGATTTGTATTTTCTTTTCTATCATTCAGTGGCATCCTTTTCCCTAATAGGTTTTAGAATAATTCTACCTCGGCTCATCCCAAGGAAAGATCAAAAAGCTCTAGTGTTATTATGAATACGTTCTTTTTGTTCAAAACAGTGCAATCTTAATATCCTATCTTTTGGGTATGTTTGAAGCAGAGGCCTGCAGAACAGCCTGTGCAGCCTTCGGTTTATTGTATTTGTTTCCAGCTGTACAGTGAAATAGGCATTCTGCTATAAATGTGTAACAGGATCTTTCTTCTCTTAGCCTTTTGGGAACCTTCTAATTCTAACTGCTACTTCTTTCATTATTTTCTGTTTTTCTTTTTCCCTTCAACTTTTTTTATTTTTGATTCTTTTTTTAATTACGTTTGCAGACTAAAATATTTTTATTTCAAGATCATTGACCTTCTCCCTCTTTCCTACGAAATATTTCTAATCCTATAGACCTTGACTTCACTATTGCAAATTGCATCTCAAAAATTATCAGTACCTCTTGACTTTGTCTGTTTTTTCTTTTACTCTATTTTTTCCTCTGCCTTGTTCGCTGAATGTTCCCTTTCCTAGCAGGTTATTCTTCTTTGACGCTGACAGGCTGTCCGCATCTCTGAGTTGCATTCTTCTAGCAAGGTTCTTCGGAGGAAATAGTTCAGACTGGTCTCTTGGTGAAATGGATATTCTACATAAACCAAGGCAGTTCCTTTATGTAATTAAATGGCTTAAAGATGGCACTCCTCTTGGAAGTCTGGTTTCAAGGATGTGCTGCCACTTAAGGTTGCCTGTATGTACAATTAGAAGTGAAAGTATATTTAAGGATGTTAGCAGAAATTATATATAGATAGAAGAGCCTCCATTCTGAAGACTCCTGTAGTTCAACCGAAGTGCCTTCTGCACTGATTGGGCCTACATGCATGAAGACTGTTTAATGCGGTGCCCACTGCCTCAACTGACCAAATTGTCAAGTCCTCTCTTATAGAGACTAACAGTGCCTCAGGGTCCCCCAGATCTGTTTTTCCATTAAGTAGAATTTTGATAGAGAAGCTTTGAAGTAGTACAGCATACAGAGCTCTGCTGTATGCAGATTCTACTCAAAGATCTGCAGTACTGTCCTCATGGCTGTACTGAACGTTGTATATCTGTTCTTTGCATTAGGTTTTATTTCGACAGCCATCATGAACTTAGATATAAGATAGCAAAGCTGGGATCAGGGAATTTAATTCTGTGCCATTTTTTGCTCCTTAGCTATGAATATGGAACTGCCTCTGATGGGAGGAAGTATTGGGAACACATGAGACAGAATTTGATGTTAGAGGGACGTGCTTTATGTCCAGTAGTATTACTATCAAGGTTAAAGACTTTAGTCTTAAAAGGATTACCGTAGTTTCCTGATAATGAGTAAACAAGCTGGAGTTTCTCGTGCTGCTTTTTAAAGAAATACAACTTCTAGGATGTACTTTATTACTGCGAAGTAATGGCAAGTAATCTTTAATCTCAGGGAAGATGTTAATTTTAGGAAATATGAGGATGAAATATAAGCCTCTACACTGATGCAGAATTGTGGTGTAATGTCTTGTGACCACTTCACAGAAAAATACATTTGATCCTTTTGACTTGAATGAACTGCTTCAAGAACTACCAAGAAAACAAAAAGAAATACTGTGGGAGAAGCTGACACATCTATTGACACAGATTCTGATGGAGCACCCTGTGGAAACATGGCAAAGGACTGAAGGTGGTGAAAGTAATGATGATATGGAAGTTGAGATAATTCCAGAAATGGTAAAAATCTTCCAAAATAAAAATATGATGAGTATTTTATATTTGCCTAGGAAATTAAATGTAATAATTCTGTAGCACTTGAAAACATGCAAGGTTTATTAAACAAGGTCAGTTCTAAACATTTTTTCCCTGCCACATTCATAACTGACTTCTTAAGAGTTATGCTTGGGTCAAGCTGAGTTTATGATCTGTCTATACTGTAAAAGATTAAATCTTCTAATATGAAAATGTTTAATTTGAGGGGAAAAAATTGCTGTAGGGA